GGTGTGTGTGTGTGTGTGTGTGTGTGTGATGCTGAGCATGCTCGGTGTGTGTGTGAGTGAGAGAGAGAGAGAGAGAGGGAGGTGCCGGGCATGCTCGGTGTGTGTGTGTGTGAGTGTGAGAGATGCCGGGCATGCTCGGTGTGTGTGTGTGTGTGTGAGAGAGAGAGAGTGAGATGCCCGCCATGCTTGGTAGGCCTGCCCCTATTCCCGCCTGCTTGAATACCTCAGCGGCATCTTGGCCCTGGAGCTGGGGTGGGAGGCCGGGGCTGTTGCCCTCACGGGTCCTCATGAGCCCCATCTGTGTCCCTGCTGGCCCAGGAGTCCCGGGGCCTCAGAGGCTGCTGTCCACACAGTGTGCTTACGTCAGGTGTGTGCGTACCTGTGTGCCTGAGTGTGCTTGCGCTGCATGTTGCCTCTGTGTTTGGCTGTCATCATTGACGCTTCTAAGTGGACGTCGGAAAGTCCGTTGGGAGGGAACGTGAATGTAAGTTGTATGCTCTGTGGGGTCGTTTGTGTGGATTGCTGTTTCTTGTTCCCGTGCACGTGGGTGCGGGTACTGGGTCCAGGCAGCATCTGTCGGGTGTAGACCCGCTATGGACCCTGTGGGACCGGATCTGGGCTGTGGAAGGTCCCCGTCGGTGCCCAGGGGCCTGTGCACCCGTGTGAGGACTCGGGCCCCGGCCTCCGGTGGCAGGTCATGCTGCGCTGGGCGTGGATGGGAAGCGTCTGGGTTGTTTGTGAAGCGAATCAGCTGGTGCGTGAGCTCAGGAAGCGATAGACAGTGTCCCGTGGTGTCAGAGTGCCGCGTCCATGCCAGAGACCCTGAAGAGCCTGGTGGCCCAGGGGATGTGCTTCCAGTGCACCTTTTGCCATGAAATGGTAGTGCTGTTGGGCTGTTGGGCTTCTACCCTGTGTCCTTTCGGACTCCTTTCCCAAAGGCACGGGGGGTTCACAGAGAGAACCACGCCTTCCCTGGCCCGGCGGCTCCCGGCCCCGGACAGGCTGGACACGGCCGTGGGTTCTTCTTCCAGAGCCCTGCGCTCCGTGTGGTGCCAGACAGGTAGCAAACCTTCTGTCTCCTCATAGCAATAATCCTGAGGTGCTTTTCTGTGTCGGTAAGATTTGATAAAACTTCTGTGCCATCGCAGGAGGGGGTCTGCATGTGTCCTGGCCGTGCAAAGACCCGGGTGGGCATTTTGTGTGGAGCTCGTCTGCCTCTCTTAGGTGTTGGTGCCCTCCCTCGTGGGCGGAGAGGTGTGAGGAGTCCTGGCCAATGCGCGAGAGGTGCACACGGACGCCAACCCCATCTGGCTGCTGCGTGGGAATTGGACCACCACCTCCTCTGTTTCCAGCTTCTTGTGAGGAAGCCTGAGCGTGTGACATGAGCTTAAATCGGAGCCTAAGGAGACTGCACCTGCTTCAGTGTCGTGGGTCCAGCTCCCAGCTCCCCTGTCCCGGAGCCGCGCCCTCTGCTCTGCGGTGGGAGCCCCTGGCTGCGGGCCTCAGAGCTCTGCAGGTCTGCGGCGGGGACAGGTGTGCATCCAGGCTCCTCCTACCGCGAGCTGGGGAGCACACAGATGTGAAAATGTACTACTCGCGCTTGTTGCAGGCCGTCTGCACTCACGGACCACATCTGTGACTTCCCGTGCACACTGGATACTTCTGCTGGAGATTGGATCTTTTATCTTTCTCTCCTGTTTTGTTGTTTCCCATCTGGTTTCATTTGCCTTTGCCGTTTCTTTGCTGTTGACAAGTCAGTCAGCTCGTGGTCAGTGCCCCGTCAGGGCAGCCTGCTCCCGTGTAGTGGGGGCGGGAGTGAGAAGTCAGTGTAGTGGGCCAGCCGCCCTCCCCCGTGGTGCGCACGCACCCCAGAACCCCCATCCCGCCGACTGGACCCGAGTGGAGGAGGGAACCCAGTGGGAAGGGTGCTGTGCTGTCTCCCGCAAGCTCTGGTGCAGGATGGCCCCAAGTGTCCACCCGCAGAGTGAGGCCCACAGAGCCCAGTGGTGTGGTGCTGGCCTTCGTCCTCGCCACCGTCCTGGGTATGTTGATAGCTGCGTACAGACCCTCTGCCGTGCGTGGGTCCCTTCTTCCTGAGCCTGACTCCTGTCAGCAGGATTTGGCATGAGCATGCGGGCTTCCTGTGGCCTGTGTGGGGCCCAGCAGGTCTCTCCAGGGCGTGGCCGGCGACAGGATGCTGTTCTGAGGAGTTGTGGGGAGTGAAACCCACTGTGTGTTCTTCAAGGCAAGGCATCTGTCGTATGCTAGTAGCTTGTTTCACGTTGTGAAGTGACACAGTCATCCTAGTGAGATGTTCAGCACTTCAGAGAAACTGGCTATTGTCAAGATGCCTTTCAGGCAGAATTTCAGGTTTTATAGTATGATTATTAGGAGACTGTGAGATCATCTAGATTATGACATTACTGTTAATTTGGTAACCACTCTGCTTGGGTGCTCGCTGCCCTGGGGCCCATCTCATGAGGTCCACGTGCTTACAGGGCTGTATGTGTAACGAGTCCCCGTGTTGAGCTTTGTGTTGCATGGAGGAGAAGTCAGGTTTATGCTGTCTTCACCTTACACCTTTAGGCTGCAGTTACATGATTCGTTCCTTTAGCCACTGGGCTCCAGCTCGGCAGTGGCTGTGAGTGCTTATCTTCGTGGAACGTATAATTGAGTGATGGAGATGGACAGTAATTCAGTGCCAATGTGACGCATGCCGTGAGCGACACGGCTGTGAGAATAGCAGAGACGGGCGGGTAGGGAAGCCTGCACTGAGGTGACGTGGCTGCCAAGGCCTGCAAGATGAGGCATCACAAATAAGAACCTGTTTGTCATGAAGAAAGGAGCTGGAAGTCCACCAGAGTGTGAGATCCCTCTGCCTCACCAAGGACTTGTATCCAGAATAGGGGACTTCCTAGAAGTCTTAAGAAGAACATTTTGTGCACGTTTTCTGCAATGGAGAAAGCATATGGATTATTTGTACAGGCAGCCCCAAGAGAAGATGTCACACGTGGAGAGGTGCTCATCTCCTTCGTCATCAGGGAAATGCAGACGAGACCATGTGGGGGTCACCACATCCCGAGAAAGGCTGAGGTGGGCGCCACAGGAGACCCAGCGTGTCAAGGGTGGGCGCTCCTGGGATGTCTTGTGGGCTGGACTGTAGCCCTGATGGTGGCGTGCTCTCCCTGGAACACGTCCAGCAGGGAGGCTGAACCAGCATGGCGGCCAGGAAGATGGCTGAGTCCAAACTGCGGGCCACAGAAGTGCACAGTTGCACTGTTCCAATTTTGTGGCGCTCGAAGCCCAGGGAAGGCTGTGTTTGCTGTTAGGAGTAAAGCAGCCAGTGTCCTTGGGGAGGAGGTCTGGATCGGGGCAAGGAGGGGCCGCCTGGTGCGTCAGCCCTGTCTCAGTTTGGCTGCCCACACGTGTGCTCAAATTGTGGCCACCCATTAAGCTGTTCACTTGTAACTCATGCAGTTTTTTTTTACAGGTATGTTATACCTAATTGTTTAAAATAGTAATTAATGGATGTTATATCTCTCTATAAAATTTGTAAGCACTTGGGCACATGGGTGGCTCAGTCGTTGGGCGTCTGCCGAAATCAAAAGTTGGACTCTTAACCAACTGAGCTGCCCAGGCATCCCAGGGAAATTAGTGGGTCTTAACAAATCTCCATCTGTCCCGTGGGTCTGTTAGAAAGTCAAGTCCGGTAAAAGCGCTCTTCCCTGGCAGGCCTTGTGGCCAGCGTTGGTTTTAGAAGCGGGTTTTGGCATGGGGAGGGATGACGACGGAAGGCTCCCGTCTGCGGGCTTGTGCCTCAGCACCCCCAGGTTCCCAGCTTCCTCCAGGGTAGCGCTTTTCACGAGTTTGCCCCGGGACTACGGTAAACTTTCTTTTGTGTTGTGGTCTATGATAACAAGTGAAGAAAAAATGTATGCGATAATGTCATGTGTCCCACATTTACTGCATTCTGTTCCATTTTAAAATGCTTGAAAAAATGCTGGTTAGGGGTGACTGGGTGGCTCAGTCGGTGAAGCATCTGCCTTCGGCTCAGGTCATGATCCCAGGGTCCTGGGATCGAGCCCCGCGTCGGGCTCCCTGCTCAGTGGGGAGCCTGCTTCTGCCCCTCCCCCTGCTCATGTTCTCTCTCTCTTGCTCGCTCTGTCTCAAATAAATAAATAAAATCTTTTAAAAATGCTGGTTAAGCCCACTGAATTGTTTCCCTGAGCTGCTAATGGGTCACAACCTACAGTGTTTTCAAGTTGCTGACTGACATGCCTCGTTCTGGCCTGTGAGCCCCTCCGTGCTCTTCCCCATCCCTTTCCAGGCCCTAGTTGCTGCTTTGTCACTTGAAGCCATTCCCCAAATAAGATTGTGCTGTCTGTCTGTTCTCTGAACCCGCCTCTGGCTTCCCTGATGAGTCTCCCTCACCCGTGCTCCTGCAGCCTCTCCGAGAACAGGCTGAGCGCCCCGTGTACGGTCTCTCAGCGCCTCATAGCTTACGTGTCTGTATGAATTATGAGTGACACTCGATCCACATGACATGTAACCCTCCCCTGCCTGATCGCTGTCAGTTCAGTGGGATTGTTTTATCCTGTCTCCATGACGGCTGAGCCTCCTCCATCGGTCCCCTCCATGGTCGTCCCCGGGCCTCTTTGGGCCCTGTGCTGGGTTCGGTACTCCGTGTTTTCTAGAGAGTGGTGTCACTGCCCCACTGAGCAAGCAGAAAGCGTTCCCAGTGCAGGGCTCTCTCTGGCGGGGGTTTGTTGGGGGAGCCGAGGTCCGTAGAGCCGGTCTGTGGGCTCGGTGCAGGCTGTCTTGTCGTGGCCGGTGTGATGGGACGCAGACGCTGATCGGTTACCGTGTTCCTTTTGTTTCTGTTCAGCCACATCAGTGGGAACAAGATTGGCTGGGACAAGACGGGGAGCCACGGGGAGCCGCAAGCTCGGGGAGACCCAGGAGACCAAACAAAGGTAGTAGTTCAGCTTTTATTCCTTCAGATCTTGACTCTTTTGAGCATGTGATGTTAGGGCTTGGTTTGAAGCAAAGTGCTGTTTTTTTAAAGCATGTTGTAGTAGACACTGGCAGGTGGCAGGGAGGGTGGGAAGGCAAGGGGGTGTCACACACTTTGGGGATGAGAGGGGAAGGGGGTCACATACTGGCGGGGCGGGTGTCAAGGACATTGGCTGGGGGATGGGTCCCAGATGTCATTGCGGGGGAGGGGGTCCCAGACGTCAGTGTGAGAGGGGGGTCCAAGATGTCGTTGCGGGGGAGGGGGTCTCAGGTGTCAATGTCAGGGAGGGGGTCCTGGACGTCAGTGTGGGGGAAGAGGGGTCCCAGACATCAGTGTGGGGGAGGGGGTCCCAGATGTCAGTGCGGGGGAGGGGTCCCAGACATGGGGGAGAGGGGGTCCTGGACGTCGGTGTGGGGGAGGGGGTCCCAGACGCATGGGGGAGGGGAAGGCTACAGCTCCTGTCTTCCACAGGCTGGGCGGGGCCTACTGGAAAGCCTCCTGTCCGCTGGTACACACTCTTGTCAGGACTTAGAGCCTTGCAGAGCCCTCATCTCCTGCAGGGTTTTGTGGGGATTGAATGAGGAATCACTTCGAATGTACACGTTAAAAATGAAAGTAAAGTTCATTCCGTTCCCCCTTTTATCTGCCTCTCCCTGTTACTAGTGATCCCTAGCAATAGCTTTCTGCTGCAGAACCACGCCTGTCCCCACACGTGGTACCTTAGGATGTGCCCCATTTCTCGCTGGAAGAGGGCTTGTTTGTACACAAGGTGACACCATGTCGGAAATTCATGTAAGGCTCTGGAGTACTCTCGCTGTTGAAGGGTCATCCTGTGAATAAGCAACAGGAATGCTTTGTGGATGCCTGTTATTTGCAAAGCATCTTCCAAAATTTTCAGCTGCTTGTGTCTATATTCTGTGAATGGAGAGTATAGAAAACACTTATGGATTATCCTTGAGTTTTTTTTAAGGCCAGTTTTGGTACTTTGTGTTTTAAAGGATAAAATTAAGCACTTAAGTACATACCACTGTAAAGAATATGTTTTGTTTCTAAACAGAGAAATTCCTTAGATTGACACGAAATCAAGCAATAAGCAATTATTATTTCCAGCATTTATCATGAGAAAGAATAAAACCGTTTGTTATGCAAATAATAATTGATCTCAGTAAACACTTTGGACTTCGCTAAATTCATAAAGAGAAAGTGAAGGGTGTCCCTCTGCAGATTTCCCTTTCCCCAGCCTGCTTCCTGCAGCCTTCCATCCCTGAGCCCCACGTGGGGCCCACTCTTCCCTCTGCAGCTTATGCACATTCTATGTTTTGGCGATTGGTTGTTACAGGATGGGTATTTTTCACTTAATGCTATCCTTCGTTCATATTTCTGTGTCATTATGTAAGGATCTGACTCATCAGTTTTAATGGAATTAGCTTGTTTTTTGCTTTACTTTTTAGTAAACAGCTCCCTGTGTATACTTAATTTGGGGCGTTATGATGACCAGAGAGAATACCTGGGTTTGGGTCTCTGTCTGTTCTTTGAACGCCAGCTGTGGTGGTGAGGAGTGGGTGTGAGCCGCGGTGCTGCAAGTTCCTGGGCAGTGACACAGTGTCTCTGAGCGTGCCCTCCCATTTCCACACAGCGAGCAGGGGGGACACGGTGGCTGCCCGGGGGTCAGCAAGCACAGAAGGCCACTCCCACCCTTAGGGGCCCCTGGGAATAGTGTGGCGGGGTCACCCACCCCCACCCAGGCTCGGGGGGCCACTCCCACTCCCTCTCTTTGGGGAGAGGTCCTCTGCACGAGACACACAGTGAAAGGAGTGGAAACCTGACCTGACCCGTTCTCCCCTGTTGCCCGTGGCTCTGCAGACGGAAGGCTCATCCACTGCCTCCTCGGGCAGCCAGCTTGCTGAAGGAAAGGGGAGCCAGATGGGCACTGTGCAGCCGATCCCGTGCCTCCTGTCCATGCCCACCCGCAACCACATGGACATCACCACACCGCCCTTGCCCCCGGTGGCGCCCGAGGTACTGAGAGTGGCGGAGCATCGGCACAAGAAGGGGCTGATGTACCCCTACATCTTCCACGTTCTGACAAAGGTATGGCTGGCCGCTTTCCATCTGACCAGGCACCTGAAACGGACTGCATTTCCCCATTCCTAAACGTTGAGAGAAAAGGCAAAAATGCGTACCTGTCAACGCACAAAGAGAAGAACGTGGGAAAGAGTTATTTTCCCCTTCGGTTTGATAGGAGATAGTTTTGAGATGTGTAATTAACAGCACATCATGTTATTTTTCTGACTTGGGATTTTATTTTCATTTCTAATTTTAAAATTTTCTGTACCATATTTATGCCATGGTGTGAGGTTTAATTAGCTGTCACGTGCACTGCCTGTCTTCTCTGTCATCTGTCCTAGAGCACCCCTGTGGAGTGGCGGACAGCGCTCCGCATCCTCGGACTTGTCGAGTGCAGTTTATAGCCCTTCAGCAGAAAATCGAACACAGGACTGTGTGACATGCTTACAGTCAGAAAATGTGATTTTGTGTTTATACAGTATCAGGATTTCACTTTATTAGTGTCTTACCAAACATATGCTTCAATAGATATCCAGTGTGGCATCATTTTTGAATCTTGGTGTCTCGAATGGATCTATGTGTCCATTTAAATTTTCTCAGTGACTTGGAGTCTTTCTGTTGATGTTTATGGCCCTAGACCCACGATTTAACATGTAACCTCGGTGACCAGATTTCTCATGTGGATGGGTTTATTGCCATCATGTATTTTTAACATGTTTGCATCAGTGTCTGTACCCCCACAGATAATCAGACATTTTTCTCCCTGTTTTCTGCAATCCGTCTGTGGTTTGTAAGGTGGGGTCAGTAAGTGCACAAGCCCCCCTGCCCCACACCACCCTGAGCCGGACTGCGACCGTTAGCTGGCTGACCCGAGCATCGCTCCCTCGGTGTCAGTCCAAGGGCACCCAGAGTTTTATGTTTAAACCGCAGTCGCCTCCAGGTGTCATGCACTCTGTGATACGGGTCTGCACGTATGGTATCACTTTTCAGATTACGGTTGCGAGGTAAACATTTTATTTTTCAGGGGCAACGCATGTTGTAAGGGTAAGTGGAAAGTTCCTCTCGCGGGAGAAGGATTTCCCGAGTTTAAAGGGACCTAGGTTTGGGGGAGATTGTGCCCTTTCCCCGTGGGGTTGTGTGGGCTGTGAGGTCCTGGACCCCTGCGCTTCTGCCCTGCTGCTGTGGTCTACCCGGGGGCAGGCTGAGCGACAGACGGCCTGTCCTCTTCCACCACTCCCTCATCTCAAGGGCAAATATTGATAAAGTGACTGTGGTTGAGAAAAGTAAATGATTATCTCTTCAGATTTTAAAATGCCACCTACCATTTTTCTGTATGTCAGGGCAGGCTTAGCGTGTCAGGCATGCTGTTTGCTGTGAGCTACGTGGCTCTGGTATTAAATTGTCAGGCCGACGTGTCTTCAGTGAGGCGAGAGTTTCACACTCACGCAGGCAGCCGGCTGAGCCAGGGACCCGGAGAGAGTGCCCACCGCACTCTCTCTCACATAAATCTATGTGAAGAAAGAACAAAGGCCAGGGAATTACTGAAAGAGTAGGTAGTGATAAATTTAACAGACATTGAAGGTCATATGTATACTCTTATGTCATGAACATTCCTAAATAAAGTTCCTGCAAAATCTCTTGAGATGTACCTTGATGCCATAGAATGTCGGAGACGGGGCCACAGAGGTCTTGCCACCACCTCAGGTGTGGATGCCCAGCCCCTTGTCTCGTGCCGTGTTGGCCGCGGGATGTGAGCAGAGTGGGCTTTCCTTCGAGGGCTGCCCCAGCAGCTGTGCATGCCCCTCATTCAGGAGGCACGTCTCCCGAGTCCTGGCACATGCTGAAATTGTGCAGAATGAGGGACGCTGCAGGGCGTGCTCTTTGGGAGACCATGTACGCACATGCTAACGTTTTATGGAAGAGCTTGGTAAAGACAATTTGACCGTTTTATTTTCAGGATACTCATTTCTTGGATTTCACATAGGTCATTAAAAATTATGAATTTCATTACATATGACCATCTTGACTCATAAGTAAAACTTGCAAGTTCTCAGCATTTTCTATTCTATTTGTTGTCTGCTCTTATCTGTCCAGATTGTTTCAAAGATTTCGGGGTCGTCTGTGTGGTTTCCTTATGCTCTTGGTTCCAGGTTAAAGATGAAACCATGTAGATTTTATTTTGACTCTTTGAGCATATGTTTTGACAACCCACTAAATGAACTCTCCCTAACACCCCACTGCACGCAAGTGGTTAAGCAATTGATTTGGAATAGAATTGCAATGTTGTTAACTGGAGATAATGCAGTGTATTTCTGTGAGTTTGTTGTAAATTCAACATGAAAAATGTGCAATATTATTCTGCTTTCTTCCATGCAAAGGGTGAAATCAAAATTGCTGTTTCTATTGAAGATGAAGCCAGCAAAGACCTGCCTCCCGCCGCCCTGCTCTATAGGCCAGTTCGCCAGTATGTTTACGGAGTGCTGTTTAGCTTGGCAGAAAGCAGAAAGAAAACTGAGAGACTTGCTTTTAGAAAGAACAGACTTCCACCAGAATGTATGTACTGTGAAATCCATTGTTTGTTTTCCTCAGTACCTCGTAACCTCTTGTGCATTTTCCAAAGCCTCAGAGGATCGTGACTGAGTCTGCCCCGAGTGTCCCCACGCAAGACGGTGGGCTTCACGGGGTCCTTAGGACAGGAGGACCAGCCCCGGGCTGTTTTCCTCAGTAACGTTCCAGTCATGCTGTGTATTTGGTAAAACATGTGCACCTTAAACTGGATGTTGATCTGGAAACAGTCCGGACGGGCACCCTCTCCTGTGGCAAGCGCGTCCCAGGCAGGGCGACAGCGGCGTGTGCTCCGGTATCCGCAAGCGCATCTGCGCACAGGGTCCGTGTTCCTGGGGAGGCCCTCACTCCGTGTGGCTGCTTCTGTGTGGGTGTTGTGTGCCTGCGCACAGCCCGCAGCAGACAGGGCCCTGGTCACTGTCCCCCTTGAGGACTCCAGCTGATCGACCCTGGGGTGGAGGGGCAGTGGAAAGACGGAAGGTGCTGTTTGACAGTTGGCAAAAGCTGAGGTCAGAGCATGCATTTTCCATCTTCCAATGGGGCAGCGTAATATTTGGGGAGAACCGTGTCTATTTTAGGTTATTTTATTTACTAACGTAGGAGATGTTAAAAGTCACTGTATATTTATTAGGAAATACAGAAAAGTTTCCCAAAACATACAGTCTAAAATAAGAATATCCTGAACCGTGGACATTGCAGATGACCAGAGCATCCCCTCAACTAGACTGTTTAGGGACAGATCCCCTGTGTGTGCAGCAGGTCCGAGCAGGCCTGGCGGCATGCCGCAGCTGACCTGTGCTCAGGGACGCACATGACGGTCTTACCTTTGGACTCTGAACTGGAGAGATTCTAGCAATTCTAAAAGCTCGTTCCATAGGTTCTGACGTTTTCTGTTTCTGATTACTATGCTGCAGCGTGGTTCAGTAAGCCTTAAAATGAAGCGCCTCCATGCCCTGACTGGAGGGTGGCCACTGAGCTCTGTAGCCGCCTATAGCTGATGCGTCTGCCTCCTCGACTGGGGCTGGGGGCCCCGCGGGAAATACTGAGTGTTGTCAGTGGACTCTGCCGCGCCGGGACGGCCCTGGTGGACACATCCTCTTTCTCGCTTCGCACAGGGTTGGCCAGTGTTCTGCACCGGACGAGGGTTGCTCGCTTCGCACAGGGCTGGCCAGTGTTCTGCCCAGGCCCTGCAGCTGCGACCTCCCTTCCAGGGCCGTGTCCCCTTGCTTCTGCCTTGGCCTAGACTGCCAGGCACTGCAGAGTGCTGGGCAGCCCCACTCCTTGCTGTGCCCTCGGCTCCGGAGCACAAGTCTGGCTTTCGTGGTGAAAGCTGTTCTCTTCCTCATTTGGTTATGTTCCAGAAACAGTTCTCTGTATTTAGCACACTCCTGGGAGTTTTCCAGGATGGGTCCCCTCTGCAGTGCCCACAGCTTTGTAGAGCAGTCCAGGTGGGCTGCTGTGCTCTGTGTGCACTCAGCGGTGGCCAGGTGCGCTCTTCCCATCTCGGGAGTTCTGTGTCACAGGTGAGCTGCGGGTGCCAGGGACAGCAGGAAGTCAGGGGGTCTCTGCCCTGCTGCAGATGTGCGGTGCGGCCCTGTGCCACACAGCATGCTCACCCCCTCGTTGCTTGCTCCGCACCTGGGCGGTGCAGGTGTCCGACTGGGCCCTGAGCAGGCAGTGGGGGATGCCAGAGGCACGGGATGGTGCTCGCTGCACAGACCAGCACCCTCTGGTCATAAGCAAGAGAGCAGTGCACTGTGGTGCAGGGCTGGGCGTGCACGCACACCACGCTGTTGGGGCTTGGCACTTGTGGGGAGAGGACGGGTGGGGGGGGTGTAGGGACAGGACAGTGAAGAAGGGAGGAGTGGTACAGATGAGCTCTGTGAGCTCTCAAGCTCTTGTGCATGGGGGCGTGTGGACTGGTTGAGTTTCTTTTATATGTATGTTTTTTTTTTTAAGATTTTTAAATTTATTTTGAAAGAGAGAGCATGAGTGAAGGGAGGGGCAGAGGGAGAGAGGGAGAATCTTGAGCAGACTCCGCACCAAGCATGGAGCCTGACGCGGGTCTCCATCTCACGACCCTGAGATCATGAACTGAGCCGAAACCAAGAGTCAGACACCTAACTGAATGCGCCTCCCAGGTGCCCCCCGGCTGAGTTTCTGGGGGAGGTTGGTGCTGAGCGCATTGTAGTTTTTCTGCTCAGGCGACGAAAGAAAGTGGGTTCTCACTTCTCTGTCAGTCACGGGGAAACCACTGAAGGGTGAGGAAGGGTGGGACATTTCTGTTCAGGAGGGTGGGCTGGGTAGGGACAGGCGGCTGAACTGAGGCAATGGGAAAGGAGCTGTGAACCAGCCCTGGGACGTCAGTGGCACCTAGAAAAGTGTGATTCACGTGGGTTACAGGTAACGGTGAACCTCTAGGTGTAAAGATGTGTCCATTTGACCTCTGAGTTTACAGGTTAAGAGACCGTTGTTAGCTCTGTAATGAGTGGCTTTAGAACCCAGGTCTCTCTGGTCTTTTTGGGGACCTGATACACTTGAATTTGTTTCATGCATTGGTTGTCTTAATGAGGGGAAAACAGCCTTAGAAAAGGTTCTTAGGTCAGTAATGCATGCTCTTTATTTGCTGATGATCATGCTAACTGGAGCACCAGCTCTCCACAGGGAAGAGTTTTGTCCTTAGGAGCTTTTGTGAGCCTTGAGCCTCAACGCTGGCAGCTTACTCAGAGCAAACCTTGTGTGAGAGAGGAACGTGGTGACCTTCAGCTCTCATTACAGTGCATTACGATTGTTCCCTGAGGACTGCTCCCTGAAGCCAGCTCTTAGATCCCAGCTGACTCAGCGCAGATGTGGTGATGCCCCTGCCGTGGGTTTCCCGCCTGAAACATGTCATAAGTGATTGCGCATTTTGGTGTTCTTAGGGAGGAAGCCCTTGGGGCTGTGGATGAGGTGAGGTTGTTGTTGCTGCTCAGGAGTTCCCGGTTGATTAGGTTTGAAAGTTGAGTCTGTTGAAACCATGATTTACCCGTGGCCACTCCTAGACCATCTGTGGATGAAATGAAGTCAGTGGTACTTTGCAGGAGATTCATAAAGCACTGACCGTGCACCATGAGGTCTTTGGGGCAGGTTTGTTTCTCAGCTGCCTGCTGGCCCCGCCGTCCACTCCGTGGGTCCCAGGTGAGCCCGCCGTCTGTAGCAGGTGAGGAGGCTCCGGGTCCAGCATGGTGTCAGCGTGATGTTGGTTCGACGTGCTCGCCGTGACAGCTGGGGGCTCCCCAGGAGGGCTTTGTTGTCAGAGAGAACCAGTCAGAGGACACGTGAAGTCTAAAGGGTTGTTTAAAAATATTGAACTCTCATGACATTTAAGACCTGTATCCATTTGGAAATGCAGTCTCTCTCTCTCTCTCTCTTTTTTAAGTAGGCTTCATGCCCAGCATGGAGCTCATTGCCGGGCCTGAACTCATGACCCTGAGATCAAGACCTGAGCCAAGATCAAGAGTCAGACACTTAACTGACTGAGCCACCCAGGCGCCCTGGAAATGCGGTCTCTTGATCAAGACACAGGATAAAGCGTTTCATAATCTGTAACAAGTGCTCTAGTGCTCGTGTGATTTTAGCAAGTTTCATTTTTAAAGTCATATGGTTAAAGTGGGATATCCACCCTCAGATCCTTAAAAACTCTGGCCTGTGAAAGTCATACTGAATTACATGCTGGCAGTTTATTTTCTGTGTGTCCATCCCTGGGTTCCATTGTTTGCTGTTAGGAAATTCATCAGAAGCTTATTTATTACGACAGTTAGCTGCTCAAAGTCACCGGCAGGGGGGCTCCAGGCCCCCCCAGTGGGCCACGTGGAAGACCGCAGACCTGGCACAAGCGATTTGCCCCATGTTCTGGATGGGGACAGTGGCAGTTGCTGGGATCTGCCTTTATGGCTGCTGGCTCTTGGGTGGGGCCTGGGGACAGTTGTCCGGCTGGAGGCTTGGAGCATGAAGCTCCCGCCCTGCTGGTGGCCCCAGGCTTGCTGCCCCCCCTGGGGGTGCCCCTCAGCTGTCCCTCACCCCACCAGGGTAGTCAGGAGGGGCAGGAAGAAAGGGGGTCTGGTTCCAAAAAGACTGCAGGGTAACAAGACTCCTGGCCACGGTGGAAGAGGTAAAAATCCAGGAAGTAAAGCCCAGTGATGGGCACATTTTCAAATTATTGTCCCCTTAGAAAAACTAGCCTCAGGACTCCCCAGGACCTCAAAATTAAGTAAGAGAAACAGGCTTCTAGAAAGTGAAGGGACATAAGGTACAGACACAGGAGGTGAAAGTCTCCACTTTCTAAATAGGAAAAGCCAAAGGGAACCTGGATTTCTTCGTGGTGCAGTTTGCTTTTGCTTTAGAAATTTTGTTTGTGCCAAGTAATTGGTTCTGCTGATTAAAAAGAAGTAAAATTAAATTGGTTCACTGTGGATTATATTATAGAACAGAATAATATGACCAATATTAGTGCATTGTTTTAATATGTGTGAAATTTGGTTATCATACACATTTCCCCTGTGATTTTGTGAAGGCTGTTTATATTTATCTGAGTTTCCTTACTCTACAGAGCTTTCCAGGAGTAGCATTAGCGACTGCCTTTTCCTCAGCGACCTGTGAGCAGCTGAGCCCGAGGGGCAGCGGCATGGGCAGGCGGCTCCACGTGGCAGGTCGTGGCCCTCCTTCGGAGCCGTGTTTGTCCCGGGTCCCTGCCCTCCTGGGTCTGACACACCGGGAGCGGCGTGCGCAGGGGCAGGAGGCCGGTGTGGTCGCGGGCGTAGTCGCGGGCGTAGTCGCGGGCGTGTCGGGAGCACCGCGCTCTGCGGCCTGGGGGGCCTCGCACCGTGTGCTAGAGGGCGCCCACACACATGTTGGCACCAGGGAGCGGGCAGCCAGCTGGGCCGCACCCCTCACGTGTCCACTCCTGTGAGGAGGCAGGTACAGCTGCCACTTGCCCAGTTTTCTGTTTTGCACAGATGCAGAAGAACCAGGTTTTGTTTTTACTTACTTGTGTGGTTTAGTTGTTTTTCTGCATGTGAGGCTCAGCAGGCGCGGCAGTCCTCCTCCTTACGTGCGTGCACACGCCTGCCCGCAGGCCCAGTTGGCCGGGGTCGTCGGAGTGGCTTGTCCCCCTCTCCTCCCTCAGCCGTGCACCCTCGGCCGCGGCGGGCGTGGCTAGTGCTCGCGGTGGCCGGCCCTGGGCGTAGGCATTCTTCATCACGCGGCTCTGTCGGCAGCCACCGCCGGCTGGTTGGAGTTGGCTCACGGAATGAAACATTTTCATTATTCCTGGCCTGGGACGGCGTCAGAACAGATTTGCAAGGCAGCTGGCTGCCCTGGGTTTCCGTGCGGCCGTGCCTGCCGTCCGAGGGAGCTGCTGGGTTCTCGCCAGCAGCTCGGGTGTAACAGCGTAGTAGGTCCCAGACTGTACTTTGCAGAGGTACTTCCCGTAAAGAAGGTGCGTTGCAAACGTAGCCTCTGGCAGTACAGAAAACCAGCAGCCGGAGTTGCTTTTGCCGATGTAAATGTCGCTTGAGCGTGAGGGAAGCAAGACAGTCTCCCGTTCAGTGTTCTCAGTTCTGCCTGAAAGGGTGAGTTTTTCTGTCGGTGGAAAAGCTGAGGTGAGTGTTCGCTGATGGCGTCACGGCAGGGTTTCTGGGCATGAGGGCGTGTCTTCTGCAACATGGGGTCGTCACGGCCGTGCTTATCTATCACAGTGCTGTTGTCTGAGTGCCAGACGCGTGTGCCCAGGGGGCCCGTAATACCCCGGCTTCCCCATGTGTGATCCCCACGTAACCAGGGCTTTTTGCAAACACAGGAGCCCAGAGGTTGTGCTGTTAGAGCTCCTCTCCTTCTGATTGTCCCTGCGAGTGGAGTCACAGAGCCTGAGCCCTCTGTCCCGGGCGGGTGCGTGGATGGGGACATGCACACAGGTACGGCTGCCGTCACCTGAAAACTGCCGTCCCTGGGATCCTTTATCAGCACTGGGCTGTAATGAGTTAACTGTGGTCAACCTCACACAAGGTAGCCTGTAGCCACATAACAGGCAGGAGGTGCCTGTGTTTCCTTCTCAAGGTTGCCTTAGGGTGAGTCCTCGGCCCCTTTCTGTGGTACCTGGTCCCAGGGCTGGGCCTCAGGGTTTGAGGACACCCTGGGTCTCGCGTGGCACGTGGCGGTTGGCCCCTGAGCCTCCCCTGCCTCCCCAGCTCCCCGCCCCGCCTGGTACATAGAAAAGGTGCTCAAGAAATACCTATGAGGTGATTGGCCACAGGCTCCACCACTGTTAAGTGATGGTACGTGAGAAGACTTCCAGAAGCAGATACACACACGTTAAAGGTAAAGCAAGTCAGGAGCAGCTTTGCTCTCGGGACAAAGTTTTGTGTTCCTTCCCTTGTATTTCCTAAATTAGATTCCAGCTGTTCATGAGTAGTGCAGTTAGGCAACAAAAATACTTAGAACGACAAGAGGAAGTGACTACACGGGACCCCTCCTTCACAGGGAGCGCAGCCCTGCCCCCCCCCCCGCTCCTGGTGGGTGCAGAGCGTGTCCCCTGCAGCATCTGCAGGCAGTCCCCGGCGGCCTCTGCCAGCTGGAAGATGTGTGCACAGCCGTCTGGGGAGCCCCGGGGGGAGTGGGGACAGGCGGGCGTGAGGGGCTGCCTCCATGCCCCCCACCCCCCCTTCCATGTGGGGCCTGGACCTCGAGAACAAGAGGGTGCTGCCCAAACCTGTTTCTAGATGAAAGCAGGACACAGTAAAGTAGAATGACCGTGGCAGGTGTTAGCAGTGGGGACAGAGGTGCAGATGGACTTGGTGGGGACGCCTCCCAGAGAGGGCTCAGATCAGACATCTGGCACGGAGCAGCCGCCTCGTGTGAGCGTGCGTGCGCGTGTGGTGGGGAGAAAGTGAAAGAACCTAGATTAGCGAATCCTACAGAGATAAAATCTAACCAGTGTGCCTTTAAACCTTTGCCACCAAAATGAATATGTTTCAAAATAGATTTGTGCGTTTTTGCTTTTTTTGGCAGGGAAATGAACACTGCGGATTACCCAGTAGACACACAGCAGCCTGCTGGTTAAGGGCTTGTTTTGTGACCAACCTTGTCCTGTTTATCTGGGGCTGATGACTGCCAGCCCCTGATACTAGTTGGGCTGAGGGGGCCTTGTGGTGGTGACGGCTGCCGGTGTGCAGGCCGCGTGTGCCGAGGCCTGGCAGGTGTGGGGCTAGATTGTGAGTCCAAGGACAGGGACTGCGTGGGTGCGTGTCTGACGTCTCAAAATACGGATGAATACAAAGATGCACGTATTTATGTATACATGTGTATCTGTTTGCGCTTAATGGACTTTAAGTGTTTTACACATTTTAGATTTTTCTTTAGTGTTTAAATGTTAAGATACTCAAATGTGAATGAAAGGGATTTTCCCAGTGACGAAACAGTAACTTTTTTGTGAGAAGACAATTTTGGGGAGCTATCTTGACCGGCACCCTGCTCCAGCAGCCTGCTCCTGGGGTGGGAGTCCCAGGGTTCCGCGGCAGCGCACCTTTCCCTGCCTTGTCTGGGGCTGGGTGTGCGGAGCTGGCTGTCCTGTTGCTGATGCCCTGTGTGTCCAGGTGTCTGGCTGCCTACATTCTCCAGGACCCTGTGCAGACAGGACCGGGTGGAGCTGCAGGTGGTCCATCGCTCATTCCACCAGAGTTTGGGCCTTCAGTCTCCCGTCTGCATTGGGCGGTACTTTCGGGAAAGTGAGCCCATCTGGGATGCTCTTGTTTGGGTAGAAGGGCCTTGTGGAAGAGGACAGTGGAGTGCCAGTGCCATCTGGTTCTGGGTGGGTCACGCTGGCTGCTTCTTGGTTCCCACTTCTGCTCCAGCAGTCATGGGCCCAAGTGAGCTTTCATTGCCCGGGAAGCGCACACCCGAAGCCCAGCATCGGCCTGTCCCCTCAGTGCAGCGAGGGGACACTGGACGCGGTCCCTGTGGCGTGCCATGTCTTCACCGTGACTCCCCTGTCACACTTTTCTCTTACTGGATTTAAATGTATGTGGGAAGAGGTGCTTGTTTTGTTTGTGCTTTAAGAATTAATGGACTCGAATAGTGGTAAGACAACTATGGGGAAGAGGCCACTGTTTCGTATTAGATCAGCTTAGACCTTCTTGCCTTTTTGGAGGCGAAATGGGGAATTTTATTATGCTTTGTCTTCAGTCTTCCTGAATAGAATTACCATGTGCTGACATCACCTGGGATTTCAAGACACTGAATCTTGCCTCAGTTTGCCGCCTTACTGGGCTTTTAGGGTCTCACTGCAGGGCACTTATTCTTACTAATCTTTAAAAACACAGTTTAAAAGGGGACCTCCCAGCGAAGTGGCACCAAGTGCGGATTGTTTCTCAAATCTGATAGTGAAAGTGTCTATGTAGAAAAAGATTAGCTATCTAAATTGGATTTCTGTGATAATCATATACTTCTGTAAATTTTACCAGTTGTTAATATTAAAACGTAACAGACTTAATAAATTTTTTCCAACATCCTTGATTTGTACATCTTAGTTGTATGGGGAAATCAAGTCATGATTTGATTGAGGAGGAACTTACCAGTGGCCTGAATGGAAATCTGATTGAGCCACAAGAAAGTGCGTAGGGGACAGAACGTTCTAGACCCGAGGACTGGTGGCCGGTGGCTTGCTGATGAGAGAATGCATTGACGTGTGAGCGGTGGCATCTGCAGACTGTAATTGTTGGAGGGTTGGATATGTTTCGGCTCCCAGTGGCTGAGCTGGGCGTAAATGGTTCTCCTCTGCTCTTCCCTCCTCCAGTTCCGCCTGTGATCATTAAAGAGTGGGCAGCTTACAAGGGGAAATCTCCGCAGACGCCAGAGCTGGTGGAAGCGCTTGCCTTCAGGGAGTGGACCTGCCCCAACTTGAAGCGGCTGTGGCTGGGGAAGGCGGTGGAAGACAAGAACCGCAGGATGAGGGCCTTCCTGGCCTGTATGAGGTCAGACACGCCCGCCATGCTCAACCCGGCCAGCGTGCCCACCCACCTCACGGTGCTGTGCTGCGTCCTACGGTAGGCGGGCCGGCGCCCCAGACGCCGTGCGTGTGAATGCGGAGCAGTCCCCATCCCGTGTTCGCATGATGGAGATGCAGTGTGCGTTGGAACTGATCCTCTGTGGCATGTTGATGGGATGGCTGTATGTGTGTACTGTATGTAAACATCATACTGATTTTAAACAGAATTTCTCCCGTAAACGTTAGAGATGTTGAAGGCTGTGCGTGTTATGTGTCGTTTGGAGTTCTGAAGGGCAGAGGTAGCTCTTTTAATCATGTGTAGATCGGTACGGACTTGTGGTTATCTGTTTTATTCCTAGGGTTATAACCTGATGTATCCTTGTTTATTTGGTTGCTCAGATTGTTCCAGCTCAGGCCTCGGGGCTCATTCAGTGGGCTCTTGTGTCCTCTGTGCCCCCAGCACATTCTTGCTTTCTGGTACCACAAGATGCCTGCTTCGCTCTGGACCCTGCCTTCTCCAGGGGTCCGGCTCCTGCCCCTTGGAGAGGGATCGAAAACCCGGATCTGGGCCTGCATGCTGGCATGCCCTCAGCCGACAGGTCCCAGATGTCTGTGTGGACACTGTTGGTGTTGGGAGTTAGTTCGTGCTGGCATGCATAGCTGAACTAGGTTCATTAGTTTTTTGAGGGGTTTTTTTGAACCAATTTCCAACTTAGGAAAAAGTTGCAAGTACAGTATGAAGAGCTTTTTTTGTTGTAAGAGTTTAATTTTTTTGATTGAAGTATAATTAACATACGTTATATTAGTTTCAGGCGTACAACGTATTGACTCAACAGTCGTGTGCATTATCAGTGCTCACCACACACACAGACTCCTAATATGGAGAAGAAACTGGTGGTTGCAGAGCAGGAGGTGATGGGGGTGGGCAAAATAGAGCCTTTTTTTAACCCACATACTGGAGTGTGGTTTTCGAACAAACAAGGGCATTTTCTGATATAAGCACAATGTAGTCATCAGGATCAACATCATGCCTATTTCTGTCTAACTTCAGGGTCCGTTTAAGAGCCTATGTTTGTGTTTGGAGGTAAAGTCCTGTTGGTTTTTCCGCCAAACCCTGGAAGGTGCAGCAGCCCCTCAGTTGCTGTGGTCTTGCAGGGGCTGTGTGCCTGCACCCTGACCGTGAGGCGGGGCAGGTGTCCACAGGCTTCTCCAGTGGGGCCGCTGTGTCCCCTGTGTAGCTAGGACACGTTCTGTAGGAGGCTGTTTGTGTAAACACTCCATTCCTCCTCAGACCTCCGTGGACTCACAGCTTCTGCCTTCTTCAGGGGCCCCTAGGCCACTCCTGCCATCACGAAATCTGGTGCTTCATTGTCACTGGCTGGGGCCGGGTCGGGCTGGCCTGTGTGTTCTCCTGATGGATCTCCATCATCCTAGGAGCACCACCCTTCCCTTTCTCCAGGCAGCCCTGCTTCCTAGGGGTGGAGACGGCCTCCCAGGCCCTCCCAGGGTGTTTCTGGTTAAGCAGGTGCCGCATGCCTTTGGACCCTTCCCACGGGGCGGCCTCTGAGCCTGGCATCAGAGCCTGGGGATCCAGCCCTGTGTGTCCCTCCACCCTGGCCCCTGACTCCCCTGTTTCTCACCCTGGGCTGAGGACGGGACAGAGCTTTAGTCGAGTGTTCATTTCCTGACATTTCTTAAATTCATCACAGGCTTTAAGGTCAGTGACTCATGTAGAAGCCTCTCCTTCTCTAAACTGGGGTTGGCACAAGCGTATTGAGGATTGGTTCGTGGGAGAGACTAGATCTTTGTTTCCAGTCTTCTGTTTTCCTCAAATGGAAAATTCATTTATGGACCTGTTTTTATCAGTAAATATATATGTAGCCAAACATTAGAGATGAAGATTTTCGATGCTCTAAGATCAAATTAGCAAGAACAAATTTAGTTGATTGTATTTCTCTCTTCCAAGTTTGAATTGGTGCGTGGCCTTTACCCCAGTGGACAGCTGACCGTCCCATCAACCTGGAGAGAGGATGCCACCTGCCGCACGCAAGGCTGCCCTCCTCTCCTGGTCTCTGTCCTTGTCCTCGTGGCCACTCCTTGGCCATCACCCCAGGCCTTTGTAAAGTCTTCCAGATTTCAGGATTGTCCTGGTCCCCATTTTTAAGACAATCTTTATGGTTGTTTATAGAAAATATACTCATTTTAGAACTTGGGACGATTAGTAAATGTGACTGGCCATGTCACGAGAGGCTCTAGCACTCTGGTGGGAGGCAGGTGCCTTGCTTGGCTGTGGAGATGGGCAGACACCTGGGGTTTCTTGCATGGAGAGCCTCTCACGGTTTCAGGTCCTGTAGAGGTAGAGCTGGTTGAGGAGACGAAGTCAGGAAGAGGTGAGAGACTGCGGTTCACAGGACAAGTCCCCGGGGGCTTGGGGGCCTCCTGTAAGCAGGCTGGTCCACTTCCACTAGGAGAGTCTGTTCTACCTTCTGCATTTTGGGCTTGGGGACAGGCAGGTGACAGACGCACTGCATGGTCCCCTTTGGCTCCACGGTACGACCTCAGGTCATGGGGGTGGGCTGAGTCGAGGCCTCACAGTTTGGAGGGGGTGGTGCGTCGAAGGGCCAGGAGGAGGGGTCAGGGTTGATGTGTGCTCCTGAGGCCCTGGGGTCGGGCCTAGGTCCCGGGAGGGGAGGTGATAAGGCCCTGTGGGTGCCCAGCAGATGACCGTTCCTGGACAGAACCGGTTCTGAACTCAGGTTCGGCAGCTCGCCTCTCAAAAATCAACGTTCAAGAGACAAGTGATGGTGGGAAAAGAGAGGTCGCTTTATTCAGAAAGCCAGCAACCGGGGAAGAGGGTGGACTAATGTCTGGAAGGCCACCGTCCCCGTCCAGGCCAAGCGGGAGGGTCTTAGAGGGGGAGGTGCAGGGAATGGGGAGGGGGCTGCGAGCGGGAGACACGGTGCCCAGGCAGTCGGCTCTATGTCCACGGGACCCTGACAGACTTGCTGGCATCCGTGGCAGGTATTTTTGAATGTGGTCTGGCCTTATCTCTTGGGAGAGACTGGTCCTTCACTCTCAAGGCCAGTGATCTGCAAATCCAAGGAGAGCAGGTTAGTTTGCTGCAGACGGCGACATCGGGCAGCAAGAAGGGGCGCGTAAGCCTGAGGCCGCGGGAGTGCTGCCGCTAACCCTTGGCTGTGGTGGCCGCGTGGGGCAGGGCTGGGGGTCGGCCACAGGGCTTCCCTTTCTTTTTCTCTTTCCTTGTTTTTCCTTTTTGGGTTTTGTTCGTTTTGCATAACTTCGAACTTGAGCAAATTGTGAGAAGGGTTTGAGGAGTTTGCGGCTGTCCTTCACCCAGACTCCCTCCACACGCCCTTGAGTGGAAGTTGTGGGTGCGATGCCTCTGTCCCTGAGCTCTTGGGTGTGTGTTTCTAAAAACAAAGACACTGTCAAAATCAGAAAAGTCATCTTAGTTCAGCTCGTGCATATGTCTCTGTGAGATTTTGCCTGCTGTCCAGTGATGTGCATCAGCAACAGGAGATCTCTGCTCGTGCTTGCGTTCAGCTGCCGAGTCTCTTCCAGTCCTTGAAGCATCTAGGCTTCCCCTGGGTTGATGCGGAGCGAACACTGGCTTGTCTGCAGATGTTCCGTCTTGTAGACAGCACGTGAACTAACGGGGCGGCAGCTTCAGGAAGCTGTCCGTACAAATGGGTTCCCAGACCTTGGCTGCCGCTCGTCTGCCCCTGACTAGACTGTTTCTCGGTCCGTGTGTTCCAGTGTCTCTTTCCAGTGAGGTTTGTTCCTGCCTCCAGGATCTTGATGCCTGTGTCCCTTCTGGGGCACTTGACACTGTGACAGCAGTGGGGGATGGGAGGATGGCAGCCAGATCTCTAGAATCATCCTCACGAAGTGGGGATGGGGGTGGGGTGCACACCTGAGCCGAGGTTCAGTGTGGGAGTGGAGCGAGTGTTCAGAACAGGGCGGAAGGTGGCTTTTCCAGCGTACAGCCAAGACAGGCCCTCATCCCAGAGAGCTCACGTTCTCCTGAGCAGCGGGCTGGCTTCAGTCCTGGTGGGACTCAGGTCAGTAGGTAGATAAGGGGGTGGAGGGCTTGAGCCCCGAAGTGAGACGCAGACAGTTGGTGGCAGCTGTGCCCGCACCGTAGGAAGCATAGCCTTCCCAGGAGGGTCACACAGGGACCTGCCTCTGCCTGGCCCCACAGGCAGCCTCCCACTGTCTGCTCGTGTGGAGTGGCGTGGCAGGTGGGGGAGCAGGCCAGGCCGTTGTCCGTCACCTTTACTGATGACCGTGGGCATGGCCTGTGTGGTGTGGTTGAGTCCGACCTTTCCGCACATGCCTCGCTCCCTTGTGTATCCAGAAAGAGAGAGGTGAATGCTGGTTCTGTGAAAATGTGAATAGAAAGCCAAACGGGGGACATACCAGGGATTCTAACCAAAAACATTGTTGTTCAGCTAAACTGACTTTGGAGAGTCTTTGCTGCCAACAAAACCAGTCTGTCCCCAAGACGGCCTTTTTTCTCATTCATCATTTTAAAAGGAACAGGGGGAGGGGTGCTGGGGGAGGTGTTTGTGTCTGGTGGGCGCACAACGCTGAGCGGGTCTTAGGCCAGCGCTGTCCACGTGCATGTGCTCACGATGGCAGGTCTCGTGTTCTGCGCGTTTCATCAAGATACAAGAGCAGCCAGGTGTGCAGCTGGAGTTTGTACACGGAGCAGTGTTTCCCACGGCCACTGCTGTCCGAGTGGGGGCCTTCGTGCACACCCGCTGTCTCGCATCGAGCCCAGACGCAGACCGTAGTCCCCCAGGCACACGGCACCCACCCCCTGCAGGGGTGCGGTGTTCGTCCCTGCGGACATCGACCGCTCAACGAAGTGAAGCTTACATCTCCGTTAAATACATCCAGCTAAATCTAAATACCATACAGATGCAGCATCTACCGTTTGTTTGCCTTGAAATTTCCTCCTCGCACCATGTAATGTTCCTGCAAAGCGCGTAAGCTCTGCCGCCGTGTCCCCATCTCTCAGGTGGGGCAGGGTGGCCCCTGCCCTGGGGTTGCTGGGGCCGCGGGGCTTGGAGATGGTATGTGCCCGTGTAGACCGGTCCCTGGTACCGGTTTTTATTGAAAATACTTCTCCTAATCTGCTGGATGGAACCTCCTTTGTTGCCTGTTCACTCACGTTCCCGTGGATGAATATTGATTATTACCAAAATAGGGCTCCACACCACCTTGTTCCTGCTTTTGTTGACTTAGATTTTAAGCTCTGAGAGAACTTCCTCAGCAGACAGGACTGGAAGGAGCTTTGTGAGGCATGTCACGGCTGTCTCTGCTCTTTTTGAGCCACCCATCAGAGGTCACAGAGGGGTCTGTCACCCCAGGTTATTTTTGCAATCAGCGGCAACTTGACTGGGTCGTCCTTCAGGTTTGCCAAGTGCAGGGCTGGGGCCCTCGGGCTCTTGCAGAGCCTCAAGCCGGGGCTGGGGTTGTCATGGAGGCAGGGCTTGTGGCGAGGTGAGTAAGGAAGAAGACCATGGATGCCTGGCGGTTCCCAGGCAGATGGCGCAGATGGATGTTTCAGATTTAAAAGTCGGTTTCAGGGGCGCCTGGGTGGCTCATTCGGTTAAGCGTCTGCCTCGGCTCAGGTCATGATCCCAGGATCCTGGGAACGAGCCCTGCATCGGGCTTCCTGCTTGGCAAGGAGTCTGCTTCTCCCTCTGCCTCTGCCTCACACTCTGCCTACTTGTGCTCTCTCTGTCAAATAAATAAAAATTTAAAAATCTTAAAAGTCGATTTCACCTCCAGCTGCTCACACCAGAGCTGCCCCCGGGAGGTCAGCGTGTCCAAGGGTTGTGGGCACTGGTCTGGAGGCCGTGGTGTCCATTCTGGTCCCTTGGGCCCCGCTCTGTCCCCTCCCCTGGCGCTCTCCTGCGGTGCGGGAGCCTCTGGCGTGCACAGGTCTCCCGCAACACTCGCTCTTCATCAGAAGCTGCGTCTTTTTTATTTGGACCTAGAGTCTGCCTTCCAGGTATCCGGTCTTGAATCGAAATAAATAAATCATGTAAATTGGTGCTTACCTTGTATTTTCAGGGTTTGAATACCTTACCAGAGTGAAGTTGTACCAGAAATCACTGAGCAGCCGCTTTGCAGCATGTGCAAATGTGGTGTGCTATTTTAATCACTCTGAAAGCAAACACTGTGTTGAGCCCAGGTGATGAGACACACGTTTGTAGCTGGTATCATGCAGTGCGCATAAAGACGCTGGGGGAGAACTCTCGGTGGTCCCCCCCGCCCAGCGCATGTCATCTGAGTGTCCGTAGAACCTGGATGCCAGGTTGTGTGTGTGACTGGTGACCGCTCCATCCTGACACCAGACCCTCTCTGTCCACCTGTAGGTATATGGTGCAGTGGCCTGGAGCACGGATCCTGCGTCGCCAGGAGCTGGACGCCTTCCTGGCTCAGGCGCTGTCCCCCAAACTCTATGAGCCTGACCAGCTGCAGGAGCTCAAGGTAATGGACAAGCCTCATTCCTTGTGTTGGGAAGCGTTGCTTCGGACTTCTGTGATGAGGGCTGACCTCACCGGGCAGAGCTGCTCAGAGCGCTAGACTAGAAAACCGAGCTGCGGACTTGGGAGCCTTCAGGGCAAAGGCAGTATCCTTCCCGGTGATGGAAACGGTCAAGTCTACTTCTGTCCGATAGAGGTTTTCCCTCGTTACCAGGGGGCGTTTACTCTTATTTTCACATCAGGAAGTAAACTTGCTTTTGTTTCAGGTGGGGACCCCGAACCCCAGGGAGGGCTTGGTCGTCAGGATTTTCTCACATCTGGCCAGGATTCTTTTCTCATTTCGTTCTGTTGTTCCTAATAACAGCATTCGTTTTCTCTAAGAAATAGTCTTGGCCCTCCTCGATTGTAAACCCCTTTAAAAGGCCACTTGAGGAATAGTGTTACACCATCATCCCTGTGCCCCTTTTGCTTAGCATTTAACATCGTATTCCTTTTAAGTTTTCCTTCCAGTAACTCCTTTTGTTCTTTATTGTTTTGGCAACGTTAATTTTCTCCAAGTGGTCCCCTGATTTTTCGGGGTGCTTATCTTTTCAGTGCACTTGGGTTAGTCGCTGTGTTCGCACAGCTGTACTCGCTTTCTGTAATGTCTGTACTAAACTTTAGAAAGTTTAAGACTTTCCAGAGTTAGCTAAATCAGTGGATCTACCTTTTCTTTTTAATGTACAGGGTTTTTGTTTTTTTTTCCTTTGACATAGTTTTTTTTTGTTTTGTTTTTGTTTTTTAATACTTGATTTGTAATCAAATAATCTCTTTTGACAAATTGCCTTCACTTTTAGATCTTTTAGCCATTCTTTATGAAGGCATTCTTTCCCTGCAGGGCTGTTTGGGGCTCGCTTTATAGATACTCAGTATTCCACAGTTGGGGCCCAATCAATGTCTGGTTCCCCTGAATTATTTAGTTATATTCAGTAATTTGGTGTTGAGTGGCCCTCGACTGTGCAGAGCCCTGGGTCACACGTGGTCACCCTAGGCTTCTGATGACTTCGACACAAGCTAATAAATAAGACAACAAAACTTAGAACCCACCCCAAATTATATTCTTTACTTTGCAGATCAAGCTTTTCTGTTTGTTAGACAGAAATTATTTTCATTTGTAATGTTTTTGAATTTAAGTTTTCGTTCTAGAGTATTTGGCTGGGTGTCCCCAAAAGGCTGGCCCTCGGCGCAGGCTCTCGCTTGCGTGCCCCCGGCTGGTGGTGCCATAGCTCTGTCTTCGTCCCCAGCCTGTGCTCAGGGGTGTTGTGAATACTTGACTAGCGTGTGCTGCCATCCCTCTACCTCTACTTCCTGTTTCTCTTATTTAGATTATTACATCAGTATTGACATCCCAGTTCTGAAAATCAGACCGCCAGGTATCAGGTATGCCCACCAAGCCTTACTCACCATCAAGTTGCTTTTCCTCAAAGTTCATCTTCTCTCCCATATCCTTTTCATTTTGGATCAACACACAGGGTGTAACTTTTGAAAGACAGCCACACTCTAAGCTTTCATTTTGGTTCTTTTGAGGTCTTAGTGCTTTCATGGTTTTCTCCTGATCCTTCATCTGAAGCCAGGTGTTTCTAGAGCTGTGTTTAGAAAGACCCATTTTATGTGCAGTGACTTGAGGCCCGCCACTGTCCCTTCGGCTCTTGCTGGTCTGGAGGTCCGCCTTCCCTTCAAGGACGGCCTGCACTGCTGGCACTTCACTCCCAAGCAGCCCAGATTCCGTAGAGCTAGAAGGGGGAAAGAGTATTCACTGGGGGGAAAGGCAGTTTTTTGTTTTTTGTTTTTTTTAAGATTGAGGATTCTCTCAGCTATCAGATTGAGAATTGATAGGAATAATCATTATTTAAATGCTGCAGAAATCCCTAGGCAAAGCTGAGAGTCCTAAACTTCAGTGATAGAAAAGTTAATTTTTAAATTGCTTTTTCATTTAACCATTAAAATTTGTTATATATCGAAAGCAAGGATGATGCTTTTCCATGAAACGCCATTTCACTGTTTGGGATATAGTCAACTCTTGATTTTGGTGGTTGTCTTAGGGGCCTCTGTCCAGTTTGTGGATTGCCCAGACCCTATTTTTTTTCTCCCGTTTTTGTCCATTCTATGCTTTTTAGAATAAAAAGGAGAAGAAAAATAAAAGACCCAGTTCTGACTTTGGCCTCTCGTTGGCTTTTCTGATGGGAGGTTTGCTGGGGAAAGATGTTGAAAGCATTAATTTAGAATGACTTTGTAAGAGTGCTTGTCTGTGGGTGCTCAGTCTGCTCACCGTGACCGTGAACAGCTGCGTGTCCGGCGTGGCTCCTCGCAGACGTGTCTACAGGGATCAAGGGCCCTTGTTTTCCCTGCTGTATTTTTTAGGTGCTTCTCTTAGGCTACCCGCATGAAAGTAGTGGTGAAGGTAAATCAGCGCTGACCCTGTGCCTGGAGGAAGGCGGGGAAAGGGTCGGGAGAAGGACTTTTGTACAGGCTCGATATTTATCCAGTTTCTTTCTCTCCTGCTCTTGATGTCCTTATAATTGCTTTAAATTCTTGTAACAGTTTCGCCTACTCAGTGCAGAACATAAAAGATGGAGGAGGAGGAGCTCTACGACTGGATCAGGCCCCTGTGGCGCCTGCAAGAGTCAGGGTGCGTGCAGGTGAACATGGCCAATCAGAGGACGGGTCTGCGGCCCAGCAGAGAGGTGCTGGGCGGGGCAGCCTCACTGGCATTTGGTTCTTGAGCTAATTGGGCAGAGATTGAATTCCGTATTTGTATTTCCTGTAAAGTCAGAGAGTTGTGTCACTTTCTCTGGTTGAGGAACTTTGGATACTGCTGACGATTTTCTCTTCCTGGGTGCAGGGGAGTGAGGCTGGGATGCGACTATCGCAGCTATACCCGCGACCCAGGGATCAGACTCCGGTGCTGCCGATGACCGGTGTTAGGACCCTGAGCACTCTGTGACTCCGTGTCCCACTCTGTAAAGTGGAGTGCTAGGAGAGGTGTGTGTATCGCACAGTGGTCGAGACGTAGACGAGATAATGCATGTGAAAATGCGCACAGCAGTACCCGATACGTACGTGTCACGGTCCCTGTAGGTGTTAGGTAGCGTTATTTGTGTAATTAGCATGTAGGGAAAGAAATACAAAACACTGTGTGAAGTAATTTAGAAACTGTTTGGACGAGGCAAGATCTGCACGGCAGTTGAGATTTCATTTACATTATTTAAACAGCGTTTATTTTGAGAATTTTTTCTGTGAAATTATGGTAGTTGTTGTTAGTAAAACTAAATGACTTGATAATCATTTTTGAAACCCATGCAAACGGTTCTTTCACTGATGGTGAGTCTTTTTAGAATAAGTAGGTATGTGTGTGGGTGAGGCCGACTCCCCACACCTCCCGTCAGCTGCCCGGGAGAGCCCTCCACGTCTGCCCGCCGGGCGGCGGGGGCTCCGTCCTGCACGTGAGGGGTGGCGTGTGCACATGGCCACCACCGGGGACCGGGCGCTGGCAGCAGCTTCCCCAGAAGGCACTGCTGCCCTGCGGGACAACACTGGCCACCCCTGGCTTCCCCGTGGCCCCCTCACTGCGAGGCCACATTCCCAGGGTCAGCTTTCCAGGAGGAAACACTCCCACTTTCTGCTTCGAGACTCTCAGAGGGGAAGGGACTTTTCCACTTCAAATGAATTCTTTCTCCATTTTGTTCTTCTCTTTCTGTGTTTTCTGCTCATAAATATAAAAATGCACCCAGCCCCATCATGCAGCCCTGCCTGCCCTCAGCCGAGCATGGTATCCCTCCCAGTGAGGCTGGAGGCTCCAGAGAAGCCGCTCCCAAAGCAGGGGCCGGCGGGCTAGGCTGCGGGCATGGACAGGCTTTTCCAGGTTTGGAAAAATCCAAAAAACAGAGGTTGGAAAACGGCGTTAGCTGATTGTGGGGATGTTGGCACGAAATGGCAGATGCTCATAAATTCATCATTTTCTGGCATGGGCATGACCTTTTTCCTTTTTAATGAAAAGCCAGGGCACCTGCCACTTTTAGGCATTGCTTAGTGGGTGCCCCGTAAAGAATGCATTCTTGGGACAGCATCACCTTAGAAAGTAAGCATGCAGGGCAGGAAGACAGAAGCCAGACAGTGAGAGCTCGGTTCTGGATAATCCACAAACCAGGTCCTTCGTAGACAGACGATCAAGAGTTGACTGTATCTGTCAGTGTTCCTTGCCCAGCGCACCAGGTGCGAGCAGAGAGGGCGGCAGCACCAGCGGGGGGGCCAGGAGAGATAGTCTGCATGGTCCAGACACAGTGTTTTTGTTGTTGTGTTCTCCATTTATAAGCTATCCATTTCTCCCGAAACATTTGACGGTCTCATTAATGAGTTGCTATCTAAAACATTAACATATAAAATGATACAAACATGAAGTACAGGTTTTAGAATGAAATTATACTGAGTACTTTTTTAATATAATGACTTGAAAAATGTAGAATCTTACTAGAATGTTCCTTGTTATAATCTTTCTGTTCCTACGTTGGCAGCATGTAGGATCTGCAGTGTGACTTGTTGTCATGCGTGAGTTGTGGACTTCCTGAGCGCTAAGGAGACTCCTGGTAGTTTGTTACCGTGTGGCGTCAGCCACAGCGCGGTCTCACTGTGCGCTGGTACAATGCTTTACAGTTCCACATTGAAATAAGCAGTATGTTTATACAGCGGTGTCTTAAACGTAAATCCGTTAAGTAACATAAAAAGTCTGTGCTCAGGTAGGCCAGCGCTAGGGTCACTGTGCTTAGGGGCGTTTGGTGGAGGGGTGTCCACGTTAACCGTGGAGAGCTGTAGTCAGACGCTGCGAGAAGCGGGGCCTGTCGTGCTCTTACTCCACGGAAATCACTCTTTTCCGTTTAAAGATTGAGAACCTCGACCCCCGAGGCATTCAGCTGTCAGCTCTCTTCATGAGTGGTGTGGACATGGCCCTGTTTGCGAACGACGCGTGTGGCCAGCCTGTGCCCTGGGAGCACTGCTGCCCTTGGATGTATTTTGATGGGAAGCTCTTCCAGTCCAAGCTCCTCAAAGCAAGCCGGGAAAAGACCCCACTCATCGACCTCTGTGATGGTCAGGTCAGTTGCGGGGAACATCGGTGGGGGACAGAGAGGAGGGGCTGGCCGCCTCAAACCAGGATGCAGGAACGTGCGCTGGCTCCTGAGCCCGGGCCAGCCCCGCGTGTGCGTGAGTGGCCGTGCGGGCCGCGGGCGCCGAGCTCCCGATGTGGAGGTGGCGTGCTGTACCTCCCTGAGCACTCAGTCACCGGACGCTGAACCTTGCTCCTGGGGGCCATACGGGGCTGGGTTTCTACCGGCCTCTGGCCACATCTCTGTCAGCAGCTCCATACGCTGCCTTGTTTATGTGTGTTTCTGTTGCCAGACATCTCGATGGACATATATTACTCACTCACATTGTCCTCGCGGCCGCAGCACTCTAACAGCCTGAACAAAGTGCACGTGACACACGGGCTTTCTCCACAAGGCACATCCCACAGCCTGGCACTTAGGGACACTAGCCAGCACACAGCACGATGCTCGGGCCCATTTCAAACTGCAGAATCACCCACAGAAACACAGAAACGTGGCACTAAGTAGACGGTGTAAAATCTGAAACAGGATGGCAGAGCCCTGGTGGCACCTCCCACCTCACCCTGCTCTGCACGGGTCTGCGGATCGCCACGAGAAGGTCACGAGCACTGATTCGGGGTTACAGATACATTTCAGCAATAGGTGAATCCACAGACGTGGAACTTGTGGATAAGGAGGGACCATGCTTGTGTGAAATCCTGGTTTAAGCATAAGGTGAAGTCGGCCGTCAGGTGATCTTGTCCCGTTGCACGAAAGAGGCTCACGTTTGCTTCAGGCTTCTAACTACGTATATTCTCCCCGAGCCACGTGGCTCCCAAGTCAGCCTCAGTCTGAAGACAGATTCATGGGGTGTGCGGGTTTTCAGAGCCTCGGATCAAGAATTGGTGTTGCTGTATGTCTTTATGTATTTATTAACAAAAGACACTCCAGGCGAATGTTGTAGGTGTTTTTTCACAGTGAATTTGATGCACACGAGCAGTGTTGGGTGCGTCTGTGTGGTTGACGTTACCCTCTGTGACGTGACCCCCTCGGGCAGCTCCCTGTCTCACCCCAGCGCGGCCACTGTGTCTCAGTGTGCTCGGTATCATGCGCAGCAAACACCGGCCTGAGCGCTCAGTCTGTGGGCACTGTCTGCGCTGTAGCATGACCTGTCTGGACTCAGCTGCTGGTTTCCAGAACCAGAACAGCACTTTCAATTAAGAACTCCTGTAGTGAATGGTTTTTGCCTGGAAATAAGCCAAGAAAGCCGGGGTTTAAGTTGATGTTTGTCTGGGATCGAGGTCATGGGAGCGAGAGGGATCTGTTCATTGCGTTTTCAGTCTTGCTTGCCTTCCGTACGAAGTGTGGCTACGCAGACCGTGACTTGTGGGAAGCATGCAGACGTGTCCTGGCAGTTGGCGTGTCTCACTCTGTCCCGTCCGTTCCGATTCAAGTGAAGCCTTGTGAGCCACGTTTTCACGTGCCGGCACTTGACTTGCAGGCTGAGCAAGCTGCCAAGGTGGAAAAGATGCGGCAGAGCATCCTGGAAGGGCTGAACCTCTCCCGGCAGAGCCACCCACTTCCCTTCCCGCCACCCGCGGCGCTGCCTTTCTACCCTGCCTCCGTGTACCCCCGGCACTTCGGGCCCGTCCCCCCGGCTCAGGGCCGGGGGCGGGGCTTTGCAGGTGAGTGTGCAGGCACTTTCGGGAGGGACCGGCGGTGTGGGGGGACAGGCGCACATGCCATGTGCACCACGTGCAGTCCCGTGGTGGCCCATGTCTTGCTGTGCTGGGAACTTGTAATTAATCGTCAGGCTTGTGATGAAGTTTGCAGCACCAGCTTTTCAGGAGAGACCAGCGCAGACTCGACTCCCGAAGCCGTGATGAGGAAGGGAGAGAGGGAAATACAACCTGCTGCAGAGATTAGGTGTTAGGGTTGGTCGGCTCACGTCTGGGGTGCCAGAGGAGTCCCCTCCGCCAAGGCCACCCTCCCCTCCCTCCTCCCCCCTCCCCCCTCCCCCTCAGCCAGTGGCTGAGCCCCTGTGGTTGACAGTTCAGAGTTACTCCAGTGCTGGTGAGGGGGGCTGGGAGACCCCCTTCCTGGCAGCTGGTGGTGTGGGAGCAGCAGCTGAAGGAGACGGGGTCGCTCTGCCCAGAAGTCCCCCGGCGGCTCCCCCGAACCTGCTCCTCATGGCTTCTCCGTCTCTCTCCACCCGGGTCCCACAGGAGTCTGTGGCTTTGGAGGCCCCTATGGGGAGACTGTAGCGACAGGCGCTTACCGTGCCTTCCGAGTGGCAACGGCAACGGGGCACTGCGGAGCCTTCTCCGGCGGTGACAGCAGCAGGACTAGCAAGTCGCAGGGTGGTAATTATGCCATGCCTTCTCCTAGAGCTTCGCTGCCCCGCCCGGCCCCCCTCTGCTGTCCCGGCCCGGCACCGCATCCTTTCCGCTAGGCCTGCTCCAGCCCCCTCCACCCCCAGGTCTCTGCCTTGCAGCGGGGCCGTCGGGTGTCCACATGGCCCTGTGCGCCCGGCCCCAGCATCGCCTCCTGTCCTGGGACAGGCTGCCTGACGGTGCCCGTGGGTGGGCTGCTCCCCCGGCGAGAGAGGACGAGCTGGTGTAGAAGGTTCCGAGGCCGTAGCAGAACTCCTGGCACAAAAACTTTCCACAGACTGTTTCATAGGAAACACTTTTAAAGAAAGTTGTAATACCGCATATATAAATGAGTTTATTTTAAATTCCCTTTGCTTCTCTTCTTGTATGTGTTAGTCTTACAAGAGAGAAAAAAGTCTTAACATTTAGTTTTGAAATAACGTCTTGTGATTTTGCTGTAATTAGAGCTTGTGACTTGTAGCTTTGTCACATGTCCTGTATTTTGGGACTGCAGAGTTAGACCCGGCCATCCCATCCACATTACAGGGCTCTTCAGATACATTTTTGAGTAACTTTAGGATAGGCAAGTCTTTCTCTCCTGCCCAGGGATGTTTTTCCAGCTCAGCTCCTTGGGGCTGGAGGGAGAGCTCTTCTGGAGCAGTAAAGACTTGCAGGCCAGTGCAGTGCCCCCTACCCCCCCACAGGGCTCTGGGGCCATTTCTCCCCCTCACCGGCCCCGCATGCCCCTCTCCTGCCTCCCACCGGCGCTTTTCTTCCTGTCCACGCCATGCAACGTGCAGTGACTCGTGCTCTCTGCTTCACCATTGGCTTCAGCTCCGTGCACCCCTTGTCTGGACACTCATGTCAGTGTGCAGTTGGGATACAACTCTGGGTGGGCTGGTGGCTATGGACACTGTGGGGTCAGAAGTAGTTTCTTGAGAGGCGCCTGGGTGGCTCAGTTGGTTAAGCGACTGCCTTCGGCTCAGGTCATGATCCCGGAGTCCCGGGATCGAGTCCCGCATCGGGCTCCC